GGAAACGTTTGTGCTACTTGATCAGTGGTCAGGTACTTCATGCTATTAGAAATGTATATCGTATTGTCCAGTTTCTATGTCAATATATTACTAGCGATAGGAGAAATTTGTGGATTCAGCATGTAAAGGTAACATCATTTATGAATGAAACTTGTGCAGGTTAAGCATAGAAAGGTTTGAACTTCTGCCAATCATTACTCAAAATATATTTATCAGGAAATTGGCCTGATAGGTATAAAAAGAAGATATAACTTCCTGATCAATTTTCACTTAGGTTGATTCAGTTTTGAATAAGCTTTGCAGATATGTATTTTTTCAAGAAATATTTAGCTTTAATATTATCCGACGCCGTCGGTAATGAAATGGGAATAATTTTCTGAAACGTGATTTTATTCGAGATTTGCTTCTGGAGAAGACAACCTTCTGTCCGTAGAGCATGAATATTAATACTCATCGCAAGACAGTATCTTATTGATCTCAATTATGGTACATCTAAACGTGTATAATTTTTATGTTCAATAAAAATGTTGCATCACTTGCAGTTGTTATTATCATTCAATAATATTAAAATGACATAAAGTATTTATGATGAACAGTCCTAGAATATTTTGATAAGGAACCGTCAGTTGTAAAATGTTATTGTTATCTGATAATGAACAGTCGTCATACTTGCTGGTATGTCATTTATTATTGACAGTTTAGGTTTTTGAAAATTTGCATGATTAACAGTCCGAATGTAGACCTCAATGAAATGTTCTGGAATATTAACAAAATGAATAGTCAACCACATTAACCATATATATGAATGGTTGAACACAACAGTAAGGATAAATAGCGCAATGTGCATATCTTTTTATTTTGGTAGCATATCTTAAGCAAAAAGAAAAGAAACTATAAGTCTGAAACATTCTCTCATAGCCTCCCCATCAGTACATTCAGTGCTTTGATTGTTTCCATGTTACCAAGTTATAATTCCAATAAAGACGATTATTCGAGTTTTCCTGTATTTTAACATTTGTTTTCGTGCTCAGGTTTGTCGTCTGCTGCAATATACAATCAACTTCTAGTTTCTATCACATGACGTAGCTGTAAGCTATCAAAACCAAACTCCATAACTTCTGAAGAAGTAAAATAACAGTTTTATACTCTTTGAAAAAAAGACGAATAAAAAGAGGAATAAAGAAATTTCTTTAATTTTGTATAACGAAAAGAAATGTACGATAATGCATTTCTAAACATTTTTCAGGTTTTTTTTCTGAAATTTGTTTACATATATTGCGTAACCTGCTTCTAAAACCATCATCGTATTATTTTTTAGGTATTATTCCGATAATTTAATTTTGTTTCATAATTGAATATACAATGTATATTTAAAACGTATATTTACCAGAAAAAAATGAAACATAAAAACAATTGAGTCCCGTTTTGTTATAGCCTACAATATTGGAATAATATTTTTAATAATCTCGACAATGAAGAGACACAATAACAAGGGATATTTTAAATAAAAATTCATTTGAAAGAAAGTAGTCGTGTTGGCACTTACCATATTAATACACAAATTCAGCATTTCTTAGTGCGTCTCCTCTCTCAGTTCAATAAATAGTGATAACCTCTAAGTCATCACTGTCATCATCAAGTCCTACAGTTCTTGAAGGGACTTCACTGAGGTTTAAAAGTCTAAAAACATAACATTTGAATTTCTTACTTAAATGAGCTGGGGCACTTTAAACAGTAATATATGCAAAGATAGTTAAGAAATATACTTTGAAATAAATTGATAATCGTATTTTGATGCTTTTCTTAGCCTTATTTGAGTGAAAAGCGTTTAAACGCTTTTCAGTTTGAGTCAGTTTTTTACAATTTGAATATTTATTCCGGAAAAACGGTTTGCGCGAATGATCTGAAATTTTGCACAAAGATTAGTGGTCTAAACCTACATCAAATGGTACAATTATCTGGAAAAAATATTTTCAGTCCCATCATGTCAAAAAACCTCAGTGGAGTCCCTTTAAGTTCTCACCGAAGTTATATCTACTTTTTGTCGTCTGCTCCTCGTTTTCTTTTACCGGTAAAGTTGATTTAGTCTTTATAAAAACATCGCTGTTGGATTACTTAGGAGGAATATACGGAAACCCAGCGAGGACTTCCTTGTTTCCCTGTGAAACGAACACGTCTGACGATTTATATACCCTTGTAATCACTAGATTGTCATCGTTTATTTTACACTTCCTCTTGAAACAACATAGCAGGGTGTCTAAAATGCTAGCGATTGTCGATCTTCTGTTCATAATTTTGCTCTTTTCCAGGATTGTTACCGTAGTGTCTTAATGACGCTTAGATACAACGTTTAATGACGTCATAATCAACTTGTTGCGCAAAAAATAAAGAAATTTAAAAAAAAGTTTCTTTTTTCAATGATTAAAAAAATCTGTTTACCTGGAAATCATGTTTTAAGAGTATTGTTTATGAAATTAAACTTAAATTATAAAAAAGTGAAAAAAACAAAAACAATGAAATCAATAAGATTTAAAAACTGGTATATCGGCGCGTTCTATATCGATATTTTGACGTCATAAGAAGACGTCAACGATACAGGCAAATTCATTGTAGTGTTTTGGAAAGCATTAACAAGGAAACTCAAAATCATTATGCCACCTGTATATAAATCACGCAACACTCTTCAGTTATGGCAACTTAAAGAATTTACCTGGTTTTCCGTAAAGGGACTATTTTGCTTAAAGACCTTTAATTTATCTTTTTTAAAAGGGACTATTTTTGTTTTCTTCCGAAAAGAGTTATTTTCAACTTGGATGCAGCTCAGAAATTTGATAAAGCAGAAAATGATAAAAAGGACAGATGAATCAGAAACGCGGATCAGATTTATGTGGCTCGAGATCGAGGAGAGAAGAAAAAGATTTAATCGGCGGAGACACAAGGGATGCTGCGTTTCAAGAAAGTGATGTTGTAGAAGTTTTATTTATTTATTTTAACTGCCATGTTCTGATTAACGAGTCAGGATTTATTTCATGCTTTCCAATATATCAGATGATTATATTCTATCGATAAACCACTAGTGAAATTTATAAAATATATAATTTTCACTGTACACACATAGCCGGAATATATCGGAATGCGGATGAAAAGAAAATCATAACTAAATGGAATAACAGGTAGAAATAAATGCCGTCATGCGTAAATTTGCCATCATACATCATGTTAAAAATGTAACAAAATTAGAGAAATTTAACAGACCTATATTTCAAAATTGATGATGTGACGTCATGATGTGATGACGTCACAAAGGAGAATGCGTGACGTTACGCGGCAAAATCGGTAAAAAAAAATACTTAAAATCACTTAAAAAGCATGATATAAAAAGAAAATTTATTTGTTTTACATATAAGATAGAAATATATTTCATTCGTGAACACCAGCTACTATATTTTCACTCGGGCTACGCCACTCGTGAAAATATTGCAACTGGTGTTCACTCAGTGAAATTATATTTCAATCTTACATGCAAAACAAACAAATATCCTCTACTGTATATATTTAATGTGCTGAAAATGATTACAGACCTCAACATACTTTAATATTGACTTGTCAGTTAAAGAAAGAAAGGTCAGGAAAAATGCTTTTAATTTAAATACATGTTTGGAAGCAAGTTAGTTCCAAAGTAATCCTTCAACCCAGATGACATAATTTATCACACACCCGTGTCGCTTTTGCGACTTCGTAAATGTGGTATTGCACAGCTGTGCATATATTTTGACGTGACGTCATTAGCATTATACAAACATAGTGTAAAGACGCGCTAAATGTTAGCGTTATACTATAGGTGCGTCAATGAAAAAAAGACTCTTATTTCACTTTAAACAGTCTTTATTTTGAGTATGTGATAAATAGAATATTAAATTCATGTAAGTTCATTACTGAATTTATTGCACTCGTTTGATAAAATAATAGTATTCAACTCGTGCAATAAACTCAGTATTGAACTTACACTCGTTCAATATCCTCTATTTATTAAATACTTAGCTTAAATTATTAATATGTTTTTAATAACAAAATGCAAAGGTATTTTCCTCAAAGTGTAAAAAGTGCACCTTTTTTTCCACGAAAAGTCTACGGCGCTTTCCAAAAAGTAATACGAAGGCCCTACGAACCAAGAACAATGATAGATAATGTTATTCCCATTTATCAGTGTTCCCACTTGTCTGAATATTTGGGGGTACATGTACCCCCAACCAAAAACATTTCGGGGTACTGTACACAATGCATATTCGGGGGTACAGCCAAACTCCTCACAGCGGTTACTTCCCCTGATCTGTACAGTAACAAGTAGCAAAGCGTGACGTAACCGCCGTGAGGAGTTTGGGGTACAGCAGCTTGACAACTGTAATAGGCTATTAGCAAACATATTTAAGTCTATATCAATTTTTACAACATCTTAGAATTATTCACCAGGCACCATGGCATTAATCTTCATATTAATGACATTAATCAACTGAATGCTGATTTGCTGCCATCATATTAAAATGTATTTTAACCAAATTGCAACTGAACATTTTTTCTCTCTCTTTTTTCGCCTTTGCAAACCTTAAAAGCTTCGAAGATGACCAGCATTACAAGCTACTTTGGGGTCATCATTTACCTTGAACTTCTAAATAATCAATCAAATCATTCTTCCACGGTATGACCGCCAAGAATTGAAGCTAGCTGATCCGCCTTATTTTGCAGACAGTCATGTTGTTTTTACTTTTACAGGAAATAAATTATTGACTGCTTTACTAATAAAATTATGTTATCCAGCGATAAAATCACCGATTTGGATATATTATTTCAATTCTATTAACACGACATCAACAAATAAATGCTGCCGTACCTGATATACATGTATATAGCAAAATTGCGCCTGATTTGTTTCTCTACTTAATGTCAGCGCATCGGATTTTATAGCGGTCCTACATCACATGTATAATGATTACGTCACATGTCTTACACTTTCGGTGATGTACCGACACTTCGTACGTAACTTATTCCACGAAAGGGGGTCAAATGGTAAGCCAGTTATAGTTCATATTTTAAAAAATATAGAACTTATTCACCGTAGGGAACGTGTTACAGTATCGCGTTTTTCGGTTACAGTATAGAATTTTAAAGATGGAGGATTATTTGTTAGGAAGAGAGGTAGGTGATTTTTTTTCCGGTCCAATCTACAAGTAGTTTAGTTTCTAAAAGATGTTTTTGTGCTTCGCTTGTAAGGAACAGAATCCGGAATCTAGTCATATATTTATTCAGACCCTGCACCGCAGATTTATCTCTATATTGTCTCATAAATGTGCAGATTTGACAGTTTTAAAATTTGAATCGAGAGACCAACGCATTTTTCTGCAATTTTGACATTATTTATGCATGCCTAGAAAAAGTAAATCTGCAAAACGTTAGTCCTTGATGTTAGGAAACGTTTATAAAAATAAATGACCAGTTGAACCTATTTTCCTGTTGGTAAATGCGTTTGAAAAAATAAATAGAGGATATTTGTTTAGTTCAGTGTAAGATCGGAATATATTTCACCGAGTGAGCACCAAAAGGTATATTTCACGAGTGGCGCAGCCACGAGTGAAATATGAACTTTTGGTGTTCACAAGGTGAAATATATTTCGATCTTAAACTAAACTAAACAAATTTTCTTTTTATTACATGCAAATAAACTTTTTAAAAAGACATTAAACCTAATACTGAATGAAAGCACGCCAAATAATAATACAACATGACGTCATTTACGACGTCACGTCATTAAGTTGGTACCCAGTACTGTGCACGCTGGTATTACACTGAAACAACGTAAGGGGCTTAAATTCAAAACAGTGAAATTATCAAAGTGGTAATTTCACTGTTTCAAACAGTGAGATTACCAGTTTTATATCACTGATATATTTCTATAAACCACCGAAAAGCATGTAATAAACAATGTTACAGTATAGAGCGAGGTAATTTGTGCAGGGTTACAGCATAGACCTAGCGATTTGTATCCGATTTTGTTACAGTTTATACCCAGATTTCGGTTACAGTTTAGACTTCGATATTTTCTATATAATTATACTAGGTAAACTGTATGAATGTTACATAGACTTTTAAATCTCTGTGAGCTTATTGGCCCCATGGCTATTCGTCCGTCTGTCGTACACATGTGTGTGCAATCTTATCCGCTCAGTAACTACTTGACTATTTATGTGATGAAATTTACATGACTTTCTACCTTCTCATCTCGAACCAAAAATATTCAAATCAAATCATGATCATGGCGTCATTTCGAATGCTTCTTTGTTGAAGTTACGATTATTTTGTCATTATTAAATAAAAAGTCGTTTTTTTCTTTCAGACATCCTGAATAGCAGTTTTCATGTTTCTGAAAAAGAAAATAATATTGAAAGTTATAGAATATGAAAGATGATAAACAAGATCAACAAGGAAAGGCGGCGTTCAATGAATGCAACCCCCATATGACCCAGCAACAAGAACCAGTACGTGGCAAGGAGCCCAGGCGGACCCCAAACAAAATCAGGACAGTATAAAAAAATAAGGTCAGACAATTACAATATCTTCTCTAGTGAGTCTGATGGAGGTACATAATAGTGGCAGAGTCGGGATAAGGCCGTCGACTTCAAATCATCTTTCATTTACTGCTGTAGTTGAAATCCAATAATGACTTTGGATTCTTTGTATGTGAGGAATCTATCAAGCTAATTTACGGAAGGTCGGTGGTTCTAGTCAGGCGCTCGTGTCTGAAATGTTTCACAAAGGGTATCTCCATGGGGTCTTTCTTTACACTAAAGCAGGAATTAATGTTTTCACATGACCTCAGTGTCGTTGAAACTTAAAATCCAAGAAAGCCAAACGTAACGAAATTCCAACACAACAAAATTGAAAATGTTCATAAACCCTTTTAAATACTTACAAAATACATTATGGTAGATGAAAATTCCAACTTAAAATAGAATTTAATGTTGCAGTATTGCTCACTTAAACACTGTTTAATCATTCCTAGGGTATTGCCTGCTTGTTAATTGTGTCTTTTGACAGCTTATCTATAATATGCAGGCTTCATAACCACCGACCGATCCCCTCTCAAAATTTCATTTTGTTTAGTTTCACTCATGGTCTCTCTTCGCTCTCTCGCCCACTAGTTTTAAACCCGGGTCGGGGGGGGTGGGGGTAATTATGCCGGTTTTCCATAGAATTGGCCATAAAGTCCGGTTCGCCATCACCGTGGCACGCATAGCAGCCTGGCACATCTGAGCCCAGCCTACAGCTAGCTCTCCGCAACCTAGCCAGCCCTGTCCCTAAAGAAAACTAAGGAAAATACAAACATATCGTAAACCGTCAGCGAAATGAGTCTAGTGTAGCAGTCACATCCTTGAACGTTCCATGATAACTGCCATATGAATTACCATCCACAATGTTACAAATCTGAAATATGCTGCTAAGACCCGTTTCATTGTTAAATGTGAAGTTCTGCCGGTGCTAGGAGGCTAATTTCCACGGCTGATACTCGGTAGTCTTTGCAGTCAATGAACCTATACAGTTAGTCAATGGCCCTGTCAAAGCATTTCTATATGTCGCGAACTATCCCATGTTGAGCTTCTGTTAAGGTATTTTCATTTTTTTTTCTCTCTTAAACTACTTTATATAATTCACTAAATAGGCATTATTATAATGTGTAATGAAATCAAGCTAATAATTATTCTTCTCTTCATACAATTCGATAAAAGTTACTGTTGTTGTCGTTGAAAACAGGATTACTTAGGACATTACTTATTCTGTCTCAAAAAGTCTCAATCTGAAACTTAAAGTAAGAAATATTAGCAAACTATACTTTTCTGCTGAAGAAAAAAAGTAATACAACCTTTCAGATGTATTATATAATAGAAAAGGTATGAGTTATTTCATAAAAAATAATGGATACACGAACTTTGTTTGAAATTTGGCAAGTATCTTAAAGCCCCAGTCACATTAGAGCTTACGACCAGTGAAGGACCAGTTTCACGATCACCAGTGACCTCTGGTCGCGGACAATCTTTTAAAACGTCTTACGACGGTCATCGGTGATCTTTGACAGTCGTAGGCTATCTTATTTAGGTCCCACGACCAATTTCAGTCGTAGAGAGGTTTTTGAGCTTGCACAAAAACCTCCTTGCGATCAAACAGGTCGCTAGTGATCTTATAAGGTCTTAGACTGTCGCACGATGGTCGTTCGGAAGTGCGACAATCTTACGACAGTCTTTACAAATTGCCACTAGTCACTGATAATCTTGAATAGTCTTTAGTAATCGTGTGATGGTCGTACGACTAGTTGTAGGTGATCGCATGACAGGTCACGGGTAGTCGTAAGTAATCCCACACAATCTTGAGACCATCGTACGTTTGCTTATGACCTGTCGTGCGATTGTCAATGATGACTGGTCTTACGATAGTCGCAGAAGTACATTTATACGTGCAAAAATGGTTTTGGTCGCAGACAATCGCTGATGATCGTCAGTTTTACAAGTCGCCGGTGGTCGCAAGTAATTTTAAGCTTTAGTGTGGCTGGGGTTTAAACTGTAACAGAAATCTGGGTATAAACTGTAACAAAATTGGATCAAAGTCGCTAGGTCTATGCTGTAACCCTTCAAAATTAACCTCGCTCTATACTGTAACATTGTTTATTTTTTCAATCGCATTTTACCAACAGGAAAATAGGTTCAACTGGTCATTTACTTTTATAAACGTTTCTAAACATAAAGGACTAACGTTTTGCAGATTTACTTTATCTAGGCATGCTTAAATAATGTCGGAATGGGAGAAAAATGCGTAAGTCTCTCGATTCAAATTTTTAAACCGTCAAATCTGCACATTTATGAAACAATATAGAGATAAATCTGCGTGCAGGGTCTGAATGAAATATATGACTAGATACCGGATTCTGTTTCCTTACAAGCAAAGCACAAAAAACATATTTTAGAAACTACACTACTAGTAGAATGGACCTGAATGAAAATCACCTACCTCTCTTCTCATAAATAATCCTCCATCTTGAAAATTCTATACTGTAACCGAAAAACGCGATACTGTAACACGTTCCCTACGGTGTTATTGCTGCGCTCCGCTAGGCTACGCTTGCAATAAGTTTCATATTTTTTTAAAATCTAAACTATAACTATAACGTAAACCAGGTTTACGAGATACTTTTTATTTATCAGTTCCATGTTTATTGAGATACGAAACATTTCTGGCGTCATAATATACTCTATTTATAGACAAAAGACGAGAAGAATACAAGATGAAAGTGGCTAGTGTTTGCCATTTTTTGGCCTTTCTATTCTGCTTGTTCTGGGACTAAGACGGATGGTAATAGTGTACATGTGAATCTCTAGGAATTTAAGCCCAGTATAGATAATATCTCGGTGATTAACATAAGTCGCGAATATAATGTAGACTGTACAATGGGAGTTTGGAAAGTGAGTAATGAACTATGGTTGTGTTCATATTGAGAGCCACTTATCTTGTTATGTAACTCATTTCAACATCATATCTTGATGCTTAAGGTCCTGGGCAACAAAAATACCATGTATATGTTAGTGTTTATCCGTGCTGTTCTTACAGAAATTAGAAACTTCTCGATGGGTGAGCGATAGCGACAGGAGAAATGTTTCTAATTTCTTCTTGTAGAACAGCTACGGATAAATACTAACATACTTAGTGTCAAGCTTTATTTGGCCTCATTATTAATTCACTTAATTACGTCACTACGCGGTTTCTATGAAGTACTATGGAAAAAAGTTAGGCGACTATGAACTGGAATTTCGATATAGTAGCGCCCATTCTCAATAAAATAAAGCATTTTGAGGTTGAAAAATTATTAAAATTTGATGTTGTCATTGTGTCATTTTTTTTTTTCGCTGAAAAATAAAAGTTTAGGGTATTTTGCAAGTTTTGCCAGAAATATTTTGAACAAGAAACTATAATATAACAGGATGGCATTTATTTCGGTAATGACACTGTATTTCTTCGGTAACGTA